GTGTGTGTGTGTGTGTCACCATCACTCCGCAGCAGAGTGCCTCTCTCCCTGTCTGAGCTACAGGATGTCAGATCATTGATGCTGCAAGTAAACCAGTAATTATTCTACAGAATAGAAGAGAACTCTGAACTAAACTCCATTTTATTTACCGTAGCTCGCATGAAACGTTAGCTTGAATGTGGCTATGTTGTGTGTCCCAAGCATGAAGCTGTGATTGTTGTTGTCACACCCACTGTCATACGTGTGAGTCCAGCGTTACACCAGTGATTTTGTGTAGTTGTGGACTTGTGGATAAGAAAGAGGAAAAACTCTCCATTTGAACGGATGAAATTCCTTCAGCGTTGAGCAGAAACACGGTGACTCACCACGACAGTTCAACGGCACGGAAACACACACACACACAAACACACAGGATGCTGAGTGTGTCTGTGTGTGCTGGCAGCTGCGTGGTGTAACACAACCTGGCCCGGACAACAGCTGCAGCCTGGCTGCACTGCAGAGTCCCAACACACACACACACTCACACACACACACACACACACAGCACCAGAATTACTGACGTTCCCGGTGTTGCAGTTTGACGTGACTCTGTGATGACCTTTATTAAAGACGCTCTGTCGGCCTCATCATTCAGATGTGTGTTTGTGTTTGTGTTTGAAAACAGCAACACAAAGAGAGGACTCTCTATTTAATGTCAAATCTTCTCAGAATTCAATTCAGCCATAACAACATTTTAAAGTTAAAGTCATATTTGCATTTTCTTAGCGTTTATTTGAGTTTGTTTTACCAACTTTGTGGAACTTAAACTAAGTTTGAGTACGACAAGTAGGAACACGTCACTCTCAGCCTCTGGTCCATGTTTCTCTCCTTATGGAAATTAAAAAGGTGTTTTCCAGACAAGGAAACATTTCTCTGGTTTCTCTAAAAATAGGTCAAATATTCATCACAGTAGCTCGCAGAGTTTTGATGTGGAAACCCACTCATTCATTTTTCTGAAATAGAAATTATGATTCCTGGTCTACATTGTTTTATTGGTTTGGGACTGTTTGGTCTTTGCAGAGTTTAATCTTAAGTCACAACAGTTTTGTATCTGCAGGTAAATAGAAACCCACGGGTCAGAGAGAAGTCGTTCTTCTTTTTGTGTTGAATTAACGTTTGTGTGAACTGAGGAGAAGTTTCTTTAAATTAGTTTCTGCCTCTGGCTTATTTCAATCTTTTTAAAACTTCGGTCGTTTCATCACTTCAGAGAAACGGTGTAAATGATGAGCGGAACAGCACATTGCCACTTTGAACCACTTGAGCGTGGTCCTTAAAAAGCTATTACTGTTATCAGCCGAGCACTTAACAACATGTTGTCGCTGCAGCAGAGACGGAGTAATAATCAGCTGCTGGTTTAAACAGCTGAGAGCACGGACTCCTCAACGGCACCGGGTCATTTCAGCAGCGCGATTAAACGCCTCCGGTGGCTGTTAGCTGCACAAACAGAAAAGAGAGGAGTGGATTTTTCAAATGAAAACGCTCTGAAGTGTAAAAGGTGTTCTCATCATGAAGTTCTTCTTCTTCACTGTGTCTGATCCTCTGCTGTCTTTCAGGCCGGCCTCCGTGGAGAGAAAACCTCCAGAGCTCAGCACGCTCAACGACGGCTACCAGATCCGCATCTGAGCCCCTCCCTTCCTGTCCGAGACGTCTTCAGTCCCGTCCATCAGCACTTTTAGGAGACGAGACACTGCAGCTCTGAAAAGGGTGGAAGATGAACACAAGTGCTTTTCTGAGCTTTCAGAGGAAGAACATTTTTTTAGATTTCAAGAAGAGCTCGGTTGCCTGTTTAGTAGCCGTGGATCCACGACAACAGCTTCATCACAGCCTGAGAGCTTTTTTTTTTACACATTTCAGCCTGAAACACTCGGATTGAAGAAGTTCAGCAGACTATTTATTTCAAAATTTCCAAAGGTTGAGATCCGTCGCGTTCCGATATCATTTGTTCACATTAATGTAACATCATATTTAGATGAGATCGACTCCATCGATCAGAGTGGAAGAGTTGAGAATAAGGAAGAGGTTCAATAAGGTGTGCAGGAAAATCAAAGAGGCAGAGTCGATAGAGTTTCAGGAAGAAGGAGAGAAGAGTGAGGAGAGGATCATTAGAGCACTGCGGCAAACCTCCCTCTCTCCCTCCCTCGTTTCCTCTGCTCCTCTGAATACATAACCACAGCTGGAAGCCAACATGGCAGAGCTGGTCTGAGATCAGCTGAGATTTGTCATTTTTTAATCTCCACTCCGAAGATAGAAGATTGTGATTTTGAGTCAAAGGACACGACCGTAAATCTGCAGCATGAGGATGAAGATCGTCTCCGTTTTGTTTGAACAAACTAAAAACGTAAAGAGGTCAAAGTGTTACAGGAGTTTTGAATCATATGTTCAAATCAGCACAAGAGAAAAACAAGAGTGAGGAAATCCAGAGCAGCTCGATGAATCAGCTTCGGTACCAAGTGACCTATGAGAGTCCGTTCAGAACTGGTCACACTCATACGCACGATGTGTCATTAGAATCGTTCAAACACAATCACATGAATGCAGCTCTGTTTTTCTGGATTCTCCTGATTTGAACTAGTCTGATACAAACACATACTGTACATGTATTATACCTTGTACTACCCACTGTACTACCTACTGTATTATGTACATAATGTACCGTAACTCCACTGTACACTGTATACAAAGATGGACGACAGGACAGCTCCTAAAAGTGAAGCCAAAGCATCTCTATTGCCCCCTGGTGGCTGGGTGCAGTATAGTTTAAAAAAAAAAAACCTCCTCCATGTTAGCAGTTGGGCCAAGGTAGGATATCCTGGCTTAATTTCTGGATAATGGGAGGAAGTGATGACATGTCGTCCATCTTTATAGTATATCCATGGTGCAACCACAGTCCCCCCCTGCTGGTCCCTGACCAGCTGTGTCCACAGAATGAAGGTAGATGCCTTGCTCATGTGCCTCTTGAGGGAAGAAAGTTGGGGTTTTGATTCAGATTGAATCCAACATTTAACTCCAGTATAACTCAGTAGAACTCATACCCACACTGAAGCCCAACAGTTCCTTAAATTGAACAGATTTTTCCAAATAAACATCCTGGCTCCGCCCCCTGATCGAGATCTTCACCAGATTTTAATTGGTTCCTTCATGACTCAAATCACATCCTTCCATCTAGTTTTGTTGAAATCTGTTCTGCAGTTTTTGTGAAATCTTGTTCACAAACAAACGGGGGGGGGGGGGGGGGGACTTCTTCTGGAGGTTTAACTTCTGAACGGATAATAAAACTCTGCCTTTGACATACTTGGAAAAACAACGGCTGACTTCTGCAGTTTTCACTCAAACTAAAATCTTTTTTATCCCAAAACTACAGATGAAGATTTTCTCTGATGGATGAAGCTGCAGCAGGAACTTTGTAATTTAAACGGACGTAAACTGTGTTTTAATAAATCCTTCCTGTCGCAGCTTTATAATCTCTCATACCTGTAAAACTTTGATCAGGAGGATTTTAGAGTTTGTAATAATTTGATAGTTTTGTTACTTTCATTTGAATGTTTCAGAACAAGTGTTGTTTTATTCTCATCTGGAAACTACCAACATTTTTCACCGAGCTTTTTGGTTCAACAATAAGCTATGCACGCGTTGTGTTCGAGGTCGTGACAAAGAACTAAAATCAAAGTCTTCCTCAGTTCAAACTACGGTGGAAAGTGTTTGTGGCTCAATCGAGGCAAAAACCAACCACATTTTAAACATCTGTACAGAAATGATTCTCCGTCATTAAGAGTAATTCTTCTCTCCACAGTTTATAAAATAATCTCTCGCTCTGTGCAGCCTGAGCCATAATCACTGATTCAAGGTGCTGTGAGGAAAAATATTTTTCATGTTTCTGATGTTTGACCAGCAGAGGACCAGAGCACAAAGCAACCAGCTCAACGTGATAATATTTGTACTGTAAATTATTTCTAACGGCTTCGTGATGTTAGCATCGGAAAAAAAAGCATAAAGCCGCTTTGCTTTCCGAGTATTTAGGAGTTGTTTTTCGGGGACAAACAAAAATGGACATTCAATTTGTTTTTAATGTTGGAGAAGCAACATATCCTGGAGAACTCTTTTTAAAGAATGGAACATTTTCTGACCGACTTCATGTATTTTACAAACTGAGGTTCAACCGTTATCAAGTTACCAACAGCCTCAACTTCACTAATGTCTCTCGATGCACAAATATGAGCATGAAGACAAACAGCAAGGACTGGACTGCTCAGTGAGGACTCAGACACTGAAACACTCAATGTAGCCACTGTTTTTAATTTAAGTCTGGAATGGAAACGTCTGCGTTTGACAATTTATTGAATTGAATGTTTCCTTTTTGTTTTTCTTCATCAGATTATGTTTGAAACTTTACGTTTTGAATATTTTGGTTTTGATTCATTGATTGTAAATTTTGATTTTGAATGAGAAGCGAGAACATTTAAAAAAAAGTGCTGAATCATGTTTCTCAGCTCCGTCCTGAATTCACTGAACTGTGATGAACTGAAATCTATGGTGATTAACACGGAAAACTTTAACTGAGCACAAAGTTCTTTGATCTCTCCTTTGATGTTTCAATAATATACTTTTAGGATTTTAGTGCGAAAAAGTTAAATTAATTTTGCCCAAACAAGGTTGTTGATGTTCTGGACAAAAAAAAGCCACATATAAAATTTCACATTTTGTATTCACGTAGCTTTGAATTAGCCTGACACCTTTTTGCTTCTCTTAAAGCTGAACCAAATTCAGAAACATGTCGTCAGTATTTGAATTAAAAAACTTCCAGTGCCTCAGCAGCGTTGCTTTCATGTCTTTGTTTCATGTTTTGACTTTGCTGTGTGTTGTTTGGAGGATTTGTGCCTGTGTGCATCGTGTGATCATTTCACCACCCTGCTTATTTCGCAGCTTCTTCCTAAACTTCTTCCACAAAACTGTTTCCTTCTTCAGATTTTATCCTGTGACAGCAAATGTACTTTTTGTTTCCCCTCTTCTCGCCTGTTGTGTTACGATTGTGTCTTTGCTGCGAGGAACAAAAGGGACAGCAGCCTTCTGTCAAACTCTTGAGAAATGTAATGAGACGTGCTTGTGGCGCTCTGTGGGAATCGAACTCTTAACCACTGTAACAGAGCTGAGCTCATTAGTGCTGTTCAGTGTTAAACTTGTGTGGCTTGGAACAGTGGGAGGAGCCGTGAGCCCCGAGTCGATATAACTGTTATAACTCTGTTACAGTTTCAACAGTTTTTATCAACAACTGAAGCAGCACGTGAATAAAGGATCTATGTTTTTATCTCCGTGTTTTTCTCTTTCTTCACATTGTCGTGTGTCAGAATCATGAATCAGGTTCTTCGGGGAGTAAAAAGCGTTTCTCAGGAGCTGGTGGCCGAGTTTCATCTTGACTTTACGATAACATGATATTTTTTGTTGTGTTTTAATGTAATTGGAGAATTTTTTGTGAAATATGAAATAAAATTTTTGTGGTATTTCTTTATGACGTGTCTGAGACGTTTTTTATTTTGTGTTTGTGACACTTTAATGACATTGTGATGTTTTGATATAATTTTGTCACATTCTTGTAAATTATTCACAACATTTTTTCTGTCGTTTTTTTTAGGGTTGGCTTTGATGTTTAATGTGGAATTTTATTTTTTTCTCTTTGTGATGCTTTAAAATTTTTAATGGCATTCTTACAATGTTTTTTTCACATTTGGTTTAAGTTTACATGTCGTTGTTGTGACATCTTTATTACAAAGATTTTGTTGCGTTTTGTGACATTTTTCTTCGCTGTTCTATACTCTGAGGTTCTATATGATTTTTTGATGCCTAACAAGGCAAATAAACAGTTTATGTATTAAAACATTCAACTCTCACATGTAGCTCAGGTGCCAGAAGACTGTTCTCTACAGTGTTCAACAAGAAGAGGAAGACGAGGAGACAAACAGTGTGACGAAGGATTTTAAAATGTTCTTCGCCTTGAGATGACAGTCCTGTACACACACACGCCTGGCTTCTGATAAAATAATCTTCTTACGTTCCGCTGCAGATGTGAGAGGTTGTGTGAGTTTAGACGAACACGTGGAGGCAGAAATAATCCTTTATTTCTCATCGCTGCAGCAGCTCACAGTGTGTGTGTGTGTGTGTGTGCTCTTGTACTGCTATCTTTGTGAGGACCAGTTAGAGTCTACAACCTACGAAGTGAGGACATTTTGGTCCTCACTTTCTGACCCACCTTTAATGGACTGTTTAGAGGTTAAGACCTGGTTAAAGGGTTAGAATTAGGTTTACGTTATGGTTAGCTAAAAACAGAGTCAGTCCGAACAGCTCACAAGATACAAACAGATCATCAGGTTTAATCAAAGCACTAAATGTTGTTATAAACACTGATATTCACTGAGGTGGGGAAGCTTCATCTTGTTGCATGTAAATCAACATCATTTAAAAACTCAAACAGCTCAAACCTCCGAGTATCAACCTGCAGGATTTTCATCACAGCATAAAACACTAACATGTGTATAACAGCTAAACGTACAATATCTCTATGAAAA